ATCGATTTCCAACTTGTCTATCCGGAGTTGATTCAGCACAAAGCTACTCCCGGTGCCCGGTTTCTTATTACTCAGTGTGGATACGTGCGCGGGACAAATGTCACGTCACCGAAAACTATCTCCTCGCGCTGCTCGTATTTTCTTCCTGGCGCCTTTTGATCCTAGATTTTCAGGCGTCGCCAACGCGCACGCGAAGGAAATTGGTTTTCGGATTACGAATTGATTTCGCAGTGCCGTTCCGCCGGCGACAACCCAGTACTCCTGCGGATGACAACGTCGAGTGTTTTCTGCATTATGCACAAATCATAAATCGTGATTTTTATATTGCGCGCAGAACCTTTACTTGGGAAAAAAATAAACGCGTTGTTTAAGACTTGTAAAACTACACCTGAGCATAATCGGCGAGTAAACCATCTCCGCGCGATTAATTCTAACAAGATTTGTGGACGTTGAAGAACGAAAGGTTGCGACGCCGAAATAGTCTGGAAGCAAAGCGGCGGATGAGATAAGATGAGATGTTAAATCCATTTGTATCTTGAAAATGAAATGTAAACAAAACCTTTTCTCTACGAGGAACAAACCGGTGAAAATCACGGGGGTTAAATTTTATTAGAAACAGAATGAGATGGAAAAATTTGCCGGGCGGACTATTTTGCATTTATTAAACATTGCACGCGCTTCAATTCCTTTAAATAACATCAAGGTGTTTTCTCGTTTTTATGTTTTCTGTTACCTTTAAATATTTCCGGGGATGAAATTCGGGTGAAATGATGAAAGATGAGTCCATGCTTTCGCTGGCGTAATAAGATTATATCAAATTTAGATATTTCTTGTTGGCACTCGAGGAAAATGCGAAAATATCGGCGTGAAATAGTCGTGTGTGCGTTCCTTGGCGCAAATTAAATTTGTAAAACCCCAGGGGCGAGCATTATTTGCCGTCCAATCTGCTGCGAGTCCGAGGCCGAGGTCCACAAACAACTACTCCTATTTGCTTGAGCCAGAAGTGCCACTGCGCGCTTCTTACACTCTCCCAGGTCGGAACCTGCATCGCGAGGTGGCGAGCGTCTGAGCGCTTGAGCCTTTTGTCGAGACATTCGTAACGCTTTGGCAACACAACACAGGAGCCGGGGCTTAGTCCTTGTGTTTCACACGCTCGCCTCGGACCAGGCGGAATAGTTTCATCTCGTCTGGAGCAAGTGCAGCAGTCCGAGATTGGTGTGAGGAGTAAGAGCTTGAAGGGTTTCGAAGGCATTTGGAGGTTTAGTGGTTGTGGGGTGGCGGCTGGACTTACACTCACACCGTGGTATTGATTAGAAGTTGAAGCCCGTTAACAATATTTTCCGAGGATTTGCAAGGTATTTGTGCTCCTCAGCTAGTCGCATCTACTAGTAGCTGGGATTACCCAGGATTTTTCCGACATCGTTTATCTTCCATTCTTTACACACCCACACCACCACAGCGCGGATGCCTATAGGTATCTTTGGGTATCCACTTTTTCGCCGTCTGGTTCTCAGTTTTTGCGTCATTTATTAAAGCATTTTCCACCTGCGCGTCGGAGATAATTATGTTTGAGCATGTGAACACTCGTAAAGGGAGGCAATTTGCAAGCGTACGGATTGTCGGAGATGTGCATTTAAACAAATTCGCATCAATTCTGAGAGCGCGCCGAGCACTCGCTTATCCATAATCATCAATCACGCATTGACACGTTTGGGAACTGGAACTCGCCAGCATTTCGACAGGCCCACGTTCCCAGTCTGATGTACAAATCGATCAAAATCACGTCGTCGTACTAGATAAACTTGAAAAATGTTAAATTTCGCGGTTGAATCTCAGCGTAAACAAATCCGCGCGAACACTTTGTATGCGGGGATTATGCTTGAACCGAAAGTCAAAAGACGTCGCCCGAGGTTAGAAAGCGTCTTGACCTAATCTGAGGAATAATATTATCCCAGCTCGAATTAAACGCAAACAAAATAATCGTCTCGAGTCATCACGCTGAGTTTTGTATGACCGCCAGAGGGGCTGGCGTTCAATTTCGCGCATCTCTTCCGCAACATTTCCAGCCGATGCGTGAGTCGCGAATCGCAATCGCAATTGCATTCAATCACGGCGTCCCTTCGTGCTTAAAGACTCTTCCGTCGACTCTTGCAGCTGACGGCCGGGTATATTCTCGCCGTAATGGCGGCACTATTATTCATTTATTCAAATATCCAGAATGGAAAACAGATGAAGTTAATTTCCGCTTTACATTTGAATGATACGCGCCGGCCGGCAGTCGACGAAAGCTGCCGGCTTTTAAATTAAGTCCCAGAAAAGAATCTTTCTGCCCCTCCGGCAGAAGGACATCACACAGAAAAACGATGGTGACGCGCACAAAGAATATGCCGCATGATAAAGAAAAAAAGCGAAGAAAATTCTCCTCGCGTGTATGCGTGACTGTGGTCTTCTTGTGAACCCGAATCTTTGAAATCTGTGCTTTGCTTCTTTTTGTTTGTGTGCGGATTTCTTCACAGATAACAATGCAATATGATAATGAAGACCTCCGCGCGCGCCAAGCCTAACAAAGTTGCTGCTGCACGCGCAGTAAGAAGCTTTTTCGGTCAGAAGCTTTCCCGTCCAGAATGAGTTTCCCCTCGATGCACGAAGGCTAAAAGAGCGCAGCGGGGATGACTGGACGATTTACTTCGCTTTTCCGAGCACCAGCGCCTTGGGTTTGATATATAATAATCTAAGAAACACAATGCGGTCCGCTCTCTTTGAACGCGTCCGTTGTTCTGTTGGCAAACAAGCGCGCAGAGAGTGGATAATGTAGATGTTGCCGGGCGTCACAGGAGAAATCAAAGAATTTCAAGAATGATGCACAAAGTGTGAAACCCGCGCAAACTTTGAGTGTGCATCATTAATGAAAATCTTCGAGTAAAGTTTGTCGTACAAATAAGATGAGTTAAAAAAAAGAACACAAGTCAAGAAAAAAAGTCTCTTCATTATATATGAGAAAATTCAAATTTTAAAGTTTGCCGCACAAGCGAACTTAATCATTGCGCAACCCGTAAAAAAATGCTTTGCAAATACTTGGCGTAACAAAATGACTCGTTGGCGTAAAATGAGATATTGATTGCTTTACTTCTTACATCATGCGGCTGATATTTTTCGGCTTCGTGTTATTCTTTTAAGACATTAAAATTCGACATTGCTTAGCATGCTGCGTGGAGAAAAATGTTTTTCGCTTGTTGGAGCATACCGGAGCGGAGAATTATTTCGCTCTGGTTGTGGAAGCTGCGCGCGTGGGTATTTTCGGTCGGGCTGATTGATTGATGGTAACGCAAATGAATAACGAACTTTCATGCCAAAACATTTACAAAGTCGAGTAGTTTCCGACCCGCTTTTCGGGTGTAGTTTGCCGGGAAGACGGAAAAAAATCACATCAGCGTGCTGTGCAAACTCTGAACCGCGCTGAACGCTTCGTTTCGCCTTCGGCTGGCAACGTTTCACTCATTTATTCTCTCGTTTCGTCTTTTTACTAACCGAATCAGGCGAACAAATCAAAGTTTTCCGACGTCGAATCGGATGTGTTGCATCTTCATAAATAAATTTTAAATTTTACATTACATACCTAGAGTAGAAAACAATGAAATACTAAAATTCTACTAAAAATTCTTCGGTTTTGAAGTTATATTATCGTATTTTCCGCATTATTATACTGAAAATTGAATTTTGAAACATGTGAGTAAACAAAAAGAATAATACAATTGAATATCCAGTCGTAAAATATGCTAATGTAGATTTACAGCCGGCGAAAACTAGAACTAGCGCATAACGCACAACAATTAAACGCGCATCCGTTCTGAATGATTAATTTTTATCGCAAATATTAAATTCGATACGCGGCAGGTTTGAAAGGTTTTCGCGGCACATTGAATCAGGCAATATCCCGTTGCGCGACGCCGGCTCGCGGATAATAATTAATAACCGGAAGCTGGAACATGAGGTGGGGGAGTGGAGGCACGTGGCGTAAATTCAATTCGAACAAAACGCTTGCCTCGCGTTGATTAGATTCATCTGGACATACTGCTTTTGTGGTTTTGTTGTGCGTTTCCTGCTCGTAATCTATTTAATTTCACATGGTAAACATGCCATTTTAGCTTACAAACAAACATTTTCGAAAATAAATAAAGATAAATTGTGTAACATATTTTCGGGAATAAAATGAAAATTTTTAAGATTCAAGATCCAAGATCGCGAATCGTAATAAAGATGAGTGAATTCTTCGACAAAACGAAGAGACCTGCGAGCCATTATCGTCTTTTGAGGGTTTAATTAAGTCGCAATTAAATTTCATACCGAATTATATTCAGAGTGTTCCAGGAATAATTTTTTACGTTAAAAATTTTTAAATAATAAATATGGTGGAGTTATTGTGCACTCTGTATAATCTGAAACGTGAATCATTCGCAAAATGATCTTTTCAAGCTTTTCTCGCGTCTGATTCAGGTCTTCGGCTTCCGTCTGTGGAGATTTCAGTCCTCTTCAGTCATGGTAAATCGAAGCCATTTGTACGCAAAGCCGTTCTAATTATTGTTCCATCTTCCCGTTTACGACCGCCGCTAGCTCCGACCCACCCACCCTCCGCCGTTGTCTTGCTGCCGCCGGTTATTTGCAGCACGTCGGCGCGTCTCTCCTATTATTAGCTCGGCCGTCTGCACATCGGCCGAATACAAAAAGATACTTAAACGCTAAGCATCTCAAAGACAAATTAAATTAAATTGCCTCTGCGCGTTACGACAACGCCCGCCTCCCGCCTCCGTGAGCATATTTAGTCGGGGTGGCGCTTTTAAGGTACACACTTCGATAAATTATTGATTAGGCTTTTAATGAAATGAAATAAAGGGCGCGCAACACCGATGAGAAAAAGGTATATAATTCTAGAGAATTGGAACTGGAATTGGTGGTGTTAGGAGAGAGAGATATTTTGATCGGGGGCGGTTAGGTCTACTCACGTATCGATGAGTTGATCCTCTTCAACGACGGACACACGCGCCACAAGCCGATGCGGAAGCTGATCGAGGTCGTCAGCTCCGACTTGGGCAGCTGCACCGGCTCCTTTGTGTACAGCCACGTGCCGCCGACGAACGCCACCACCAGCGTGCACAACGCCACCAGACCGAGCAGGACCCCGAGGCGCGATAGTCCCTTCGACTTGCAACACATCACACAATCCGATTCTCCCACGCAAGCTGGGCACAAACTTTCCACTTATCGCACCGCGATTTGATTACGCACACTCATGAGTTCATGAGTTCATATTGTTTATATTTTCATTCGTATTTATTTTTATTTGTTGTTTTTTTTTTATTTTGTGTATGTGTTGTTATCTGACGATGAGGTTGCGAAAGTTTTTACGCTTCCAGCGAATCGCTTCCATTGTGGCGCGCAGCAGATAAGAATTCGGCGTAGCGCCACGGCCGGGGGCGGCGGCGCGCAGTCATTATGAGTTCGGCCGCCGCGCGCGTTTGCTGTTACTTCTGTAGATACCTGCAAATGAACACAGATAATTATTTCAATGGCATTTTTTGCGCACATGTTTTTTTCAAAATTAAAAAATTAACCTTGACCGCGTCCTAATTAAGCGGGCTTTTAATTAAAGCAGGACAAACATAATTAATGTTGCCTATTCAAAAATGGCTTGTTGGTTAATTAGTAGGAGGGTTTTGCATTTTGATTGGTGAAATGTAATTAAATTAATGCCGATTCGCCGGTTGTCGCGGATTGTGCCATTTGAGCAAATAATCATAATGTGATGTTGGCTGATTTATAATGAGAAACTATTTTCGAAATCCGATTCGTTTAATTACTTTATTCCGAGCGCACAATTTATTAAACAAACATTGCATAGAATTGCGCATTGTATTCTATTATACACTTATTGTATTTTATTTAATTTCTGCGCTCAATGCTTTCAATCACTTCAGAGGACAATAAATAATATTTGTTCCCGAGTACGTTTGATCGTCCGAGCTCGAAGAATGACCACGCGAGTTTGATTGCACAATGCACAACAAAGCAGTGCGGGCGCAGGAGGAAAAAAAATCGCGTGCTCAACTCTCAACTTGCAACATAAACGTTTTCGTTCCATTTCTCGACGTTCAACTTTTCACAATTTCCGCGCTTGGGATATATTGAAACTGAAAAACCTCTCGAAAACACTCGAAGCGTCCACTCGTCGCTCCCAAACGGATGCGAATATAAACGCACATGCAGACGCTCAACACACGCCTGACAGACAGACAGACGGACGGAAAATGCGAGGTACTTTCAAAGCTTCACAGCTTCCAACGTCCAAAACTTCAAGTTTCTCTCGCTTGTGCAAAGCGAAATATATGAATGTTTATCGCTGTGATGGTGTGACGGTTGCGGATCTACGTGAGGGGATCATCTCGCGTTATATGTGCGACTGGTTACATATATAATGTGAGGTGATGCTGGCACTAGACTAGACTACTCCTCGCACCCTAGGCAACCAGAGTCGCCCGGGTGCGAATGAAGAAACCTAGATCCAGATCGTCATGGATATATATTTGCGCGCTGTGAATGCGAGCCTCAAAGCAAAGATTTCGCTGAATGATTCGATATTACATTTTGTGCGACCATTGTACGACACCCACAGACGCGCAAGCCGCGAGAAAATAAATAAGAAGAAAGCGCGCAGCTCATACGCGTCGACTTTCGGCTTGTATTGGTAATGTCAAATGTCAAATCGAATCAAAAAGCCATAGCGAACAGATATTAAATTCCGAGAATGCGCAATTCAGCGGCGTCTCCTTTGCTTTGCAAACGTCTTGTGTGTGAGTGCATGTGAGCGAACCCGGAAAGCTCTAAGCGCCGAGAAGGATCACGAATTCATTTTATAGTTTTCTCTCCGCAACGAGAAAATGCTAGTTTTATTGAAAACTCAAAGGAAACGTTGCAGAATCTGGATTCATCGTTGTCTAGTGTATGAAATTCTGAAATTTCAAATTTCCATTGAAAGCTAGTCGCTATTTTTATTTAACATTTCAATAAAATTTGCTCGAAATAAAATTAATAAACATTTGCGGGTTTCTTTAGAAATGCGCCGCATTTCTAAAAGAGGTTTGAAGCGATTTTCCGCGCGAAAAAATGCTTCGAAATGCATGATCTCGTTCTATTTCGAGAATTCGGTGGAGGTTTGCTCACTCGAACGCGCTTTTGCGGGGAAAGTGGAAAAAGGGAGTAGGAAAAAGCGGTCGGCATGGTAGCCGCGCCAGTATCGAAAAACCACAACAATGATAAGAATAACGCATCACTAATTCGGATCGCATCGCGCATCGCACATCGTTTGGCATTGCGAGCGGACAAAAAATGTGCTCTCAGGCGAAGATTCATATACAGTGTGTTTAAAACAAAATTTTACTTTAGAGAATCTTAATTTTTAAGTTTTTATGATTTTCGGTAGCGCAAACGTGTTTTTGTCAACACCCGATAGATGTCGTGCTGGCAGCATGACGTGGTGACGTCACACATCGTTGAAACGCGCTCGTCGTCGGTGCGCATCGCGTCGTTTTGCCTGTCACATCACATTGTTTTCTACTTTACAAGGTTGAAAACCAACTGGCATGTTAATGTACGACCGCGCCGGCCTGTGTGTGCCGAATTGGATGCTCGTTGGTAATGTGCCATCGCGTCGCATCGTGGAGCACTTGCCGTGGGGGTGTGTGGGTGGTATATGTCTCTCGGTGTGTGTGGGTGGAGGGTAGCGCAATGTTTGGCAACGTTTTGCCGCCCGCCCGAGTGTGTCATCGTTTCGCGCACTCCGATCACGACTCGCGCTCTCTGTGCGCGCTTAATGAAAGAATGGTTACATGCGCCATTTGCGATCACATTGCGAAAAGGGCGACAACAAAAAGTCACTCGTTAAACATTTGAAAATCAGTAAATCTAAACATAAACCTGTTTTTTATGACAAATTGTAAAAATTTTATTTTTGATATCATTGTACATTAAAACCTGGAAAAAACGCGCATAAAATATTTAGAAATGCGCGACATTAAATGGACACCTACGTGTAAATTTGGCGGCGGCGGCTTTTGTGCGGTGGAGGGAGGCTTTTTTTTTTGTTGTTTGGCAGAAAACATGAAAAACACACGCAACATTTTTACGTTTACATACATAAAATGTTTGCATTTATGAACACGCATTATCAGCGAAAAAGTTTTTATGGTTTTTGTTCTTCTAATTATAACGTAGCTTTCGAGGGGGCTTGAATTTCCGGAATACAACACGAAATGCAATGCATACAATGCAGCAACAATAAATGCTTCGCGGATCAGTGCGAATGCGAACTGTTCATTAAATATTTAGGTTTGTTTCAAATATACAAACAATTCGCATAAATAACTGCGATTGTTTGCACGCATGCAAAACTAGCCAATGAATATGAATAGAACGAGATGCCCAATAGGGTCGTTACTATAAATTAAATGTTTTCATTTATGGTATGCACAATGGAAACACAAACAAGTAATGTTTGAATAAAAAAATATATATTAGTTACGAAGCTATCATTTTTTTCCGGTTGAATGCCGACATTAATCGTGATATTTGGTTTTATTTAATTTTTAGTGTTATTTGTTCAATTTTTGCCATTTTGCAATCGACGCAGCAATTTTAATGCGAATTTTTCACTTTTATTTCGACCGAATTTTATACAGGTGCGTATTTCTGAGAAATTTAATTACAAAGTTTGGAAACAAATTCAACTTTGATTAAAACCAAATGCATACAAGTTATTTACATCCTTCAAGTTGGCTAAACTTTACGGAAATCTTGTTTATTGCTGTGTTTACTGTTTTTTTCTTCTACGGCTTCTTCTTGAAGGAAATAAATGCCAATGTAAGGTAAATCTCAAGGCGCTTTTTACCGCGTTTTTTTTTTCAATATTAGCAAAGTGCTGAAAGTACGTTGGGGGCGGCAGCCACTCGAGGGTGCTTCAGAGTCTATGGAACGTAATGATGGCACAAGTGCTTTCACAGAGAATTGGCAGCACAACAAACTCAAGCAAGTCGAGCGCAAACTCGGCGCAAAGTTAAGGTTTTCCGTCAGAAAACATCAGCGATGGTAAAATTTCTATAATGCCATCATTGCGCATGCTAACAAAAATATTTTACTTGATACAATAACATTTTTTCCGGCGTAAAGATTAAATTTTGTAAATTTTCACCATAAAACGTTAATATTTAGTATATTAAATTAAAACACATGGTATATTCTGATTTGGGTTACATATAAATATGTAAAATAACACAATTTTGTTTTCCTTCCGTCTTTTGGAAGCGTGTCTGCATAATAACATAATTTGGGAAATTTATACATCGTATCCGAGCGAATCGCGCAAACCAAAACTATAGTTTGCTTTCGGTTGTCGATGTAAATGTTTAAACGGCGCGCATCCCTCGCATCGCGACTGTAAACGAATATTGCGCCCCGATATTGGACTCGTACATTCCTCTAGTAATACATATAAATACATAAAAAAGCGAAACATGAAGCAACAAAAGAAAATAAACGCCACAAACGGTGCGCCGCGTTTGGCCAAAGACAGCAGAATACACTCGACGCCAAACGCGATCGTCCTGCCGCATTTATTCTTCGCCGAATAAAAGCAGATACGAGGGCGAATAAACCGCAAGCGATATTTTATTTCCACTATTTTTCCTATGAGGATCTTCACCGAAGAATACGTCTATGTTTGATGCAAAAAATGAAAAGATTTTTAGTTTTTTTTGGCGTACATGATTACAGCTTTCGGGCTGTTAAAATTTTTAAAGGCTTATTTCGAAAGTTTTCCATTTCCGGTTTGTGAGTTGGAGCGCAAAAAATATTAAAACAATGTGAATCGGGAAGCATGAAGTAGAAATACGAAATGTGACGTGATAAAAAGTGAAACATTGAAACGCGGCGCAGCGTAAGCGCCGGATGAGCAGCAAAACTGCAAACGGTGCGCGAGCACCACGTTGGTTAATTAATTAATAATTAAGCGAGACTGTGGCTGCGCTAATAGCTGCATTGTGTTATAAAAACGAGAAAAACTAAAAATAGTAAAAGAATCATCGAGGACAAAACGTACTCAGTTTTTTATTAAAAATGTCAACGTCTTTTTAAAATATTATTCAGACATCGTGTATTTTCATTCATAGAAATAAATTCTTTATTAAACAGATCATAGATTTGGTTTGTATCAGTTTTTAAACAAAAGTTACAGAGCAATTTGTGTTAATTTTATGATTTTTTTTAAAGAAAATTCAATTTTTAATTGCTTATAACTTTTTGCCTAACTATTGAAACAACAAATTTTAAAAGCAGTTAGATACAGAATTTAATTTTTAATGAATATTTGAAGAAATAATATTTGTAGCTCTAATAGTTCTTGAGTAATTAACAAATAATTAAAATTTTAAAATTATTTTATGATTTTTTTGCCAAAATTCTATTTTAATTGCTTATAACTTTTTGTTTAATCATCATACTCACGCATTTCAAACGCAATTAGATGCAGAATTTAATTAAGAATCAATCCCGAAAAGAATCATATTCATACCTCTAATAGTTTTTGAGTAATTACCAAATAATTAAAATTATAAAATTATTTTATGATTTTTTTTGCCAAGATTCAATTTTAATTGCATATAACTTTTGATCTAATTATCATAATCACAAATTTCAAACGCAATTTGACGCAGAATTTAATTAGAAATCAATCCCTAAAAGAATCATATTCATGCCTCTAATAGTTTTTGAGTAATTACCAAACAATTAAAATGATTACCCTGATTTTTACGTACAAAACCATTTTGTACCTTACCAAACTATTACTTCGAACACAATTCATCCTAGCATTGTATAAATTAAGATTGCGCGCTGGAAAGTAAGTGCGTGCAATGATGTTTAGCTATTATTACCTACGTCTAACTGACGTATAACGACGCGTAAGGACGAATAACGACTCGCGCGATACTCGGCGCGCGCTCCTGGATGTATATTATTACATAAATAGTGCGCTCCTCATGAATATACAACATCACAACCAGAATAACACGCCAGTGAAGTGGATGACGACGACGACCAGAACGACGGGCGTCGAGTGGCGCACCGTCGTCGTCGATGTAACCGTGTAATTGCCCTCGCGGTTTAGTTTAACGTTTGCTTTCCACTACCCCCTACTTTACTTGCTATTTCTGTTCGTCTGTACGTTTTGTTGAAAGCAAACGGCGCTCGACATTTATGCTGCTACGTTCCACGTTTATTATTTTCACCGATCGCTGATTATTCACTATATTACACCCTGAAATTACAATCGTAATATTTGTGATTTACGTATACGAATTAAAACGTAAATGCTTTTCATATATCAAATGAATGCTTTTGAACACTTTGTGTGTGGTGTTGAAGAAAAGTAAAACAAAACGAATTTCCGTCCGCAACAAAGTGAAGATTTTGTAGATTTTATATCCCGATGCAAGCGTGGGTTTAATACGCCAAAGGGGGCGACGAGGTTCTTATCGGACGCGCAGTTTCCGCTTCTTTCTCTTCGCTTATCCTTTTCTCTTGGTAACCTTTGGTCTCCGCTTGGTTTCTTGCGTTCTTCGTGCGTTTGGTTTCAGTCGCATTGGCGCAAGTGATAAATGTTAACTACGTGTGAAGCCGGCTTGCATGAAAGCCATTAAAGTTTTTCCTGGGCCACGCCAATCGCAACCCTGTCCGGCAATATCCTTTTTACGAATTTTGCGCAAAAGTGCACGCGTGCGAAGCGGGTTGTCTACGACTAGAAGACCCCAACTCGCAGGACAGAAAAAAAATCGTAAAATCGTCGAATATCTACTATTGAACGCTGAAACTGAAACCGAAACTGAAAGAATCGTGATTCCGGTGTACGAATGAGACCTATTAATCTCTCCGCGGGTAATTGAGGCGGTATTACACAGTCCATTAGTCGTCGAGAGGACCCGCTTCCAAAAAGTCACTTGGACTGCGTTGAACTACCCGGTTTCCTGCACGCAATGGACAAGAGTATCTCGAGAAGAAGACTGTATCGAAGTAGAAGCACGCGAATTTATTTTTTTAAGAATCTTTTTTTGACAGCGTTTGAGGCATGATGCAAGATGTCTTTTTCTGAGTTGAGGAAGGCATCAGACAAATTGCGCCACAGCCGCAGCCGCGGGGCGCGCCCGCCCACCGATTTCACGTTCATCGGATCGTCTACCGATCCTGCCGATTTCCTTCCATTCGCTAAGGATAATGTCCTCTTGCCAGCTACATATATCCTCACCCATTCCACTTCCTGGGTTCTTTGCTCTTCGGCCGCTCTCTTTTTTAAACGATTCTCGAATATTTTTTGTCATACACCACACGAATCTGTTCCAAATCGTCTTTTGTATCGCGCGCTGTGTTTTTTCATTCTATTTCGCGATCGTTTCTTGCGCTTCTAATGGCGATTAGAGAAGTTAAGAGGAAAAATACCATCGGAACATATTGGAACAAGAAAGAAAGTGCAAACAAACAGTCGGCAAACGACTTTTAGTTTTGGTTTTCTCTTTCACCCGTTTTCGATTCTGTTGGTATTCTGTTGGGTTTGGTTGTGATAGATTTTATACACTGGTGTGTACCGTGTACGTTCACTTTGTTTTCGATGGAAAAACAATGTTGCGTGCTTAGTCTTCCTCGAAGTCGATCATTAGGACTGTGGGAGGAAGGAGACGCGTTGGAAGTTTTGCCGCTTTGCTTTTGGGTCTGTTGGCGACTTTGATGTACTGATCAAATAACAAATAAACGCAAGTTTATGTGTTTAACTGGCTGCAAGAGCAACAAAAAGTGTATCGTCGAATTGTATTGAGAATAAATAGAAAACAGCGAGACCGCCAGCGAGTAAACAGCAAAAAATATTGAAGATGTTCCGGCATCACAGATTTGTTTTTCTTTTCGAAGCAAGTAATTGCACACTTTTTATTTTATAACTTTTTTTGTTTTGTTTTGAATTGAATTGAATCATCTTTACATATATATTTTATTCAAGTTATATATTTTTTGTTTGCCAAGAAATGAAGCAATATTTTTCTGAAATAAAAGAAAACTCAATTTAAAGATAATATTATTAAAAATAAAATGAACTGCGCTGCTTTATCAAATAACGTTTTTCATTTCTACGAGTATATACAATTTATGAGTACATTAAAAACGAAATTAAATAATAACTTACGAGTTATTCTTTTGATGCAACCAAAAATAATTTCAATTATTTAATTGATCGTTTAATAATTGAAATAATAAGAAGAAATAATAACCTTGTGACTCATTCACATCGTGTTTTGTTTGCTCGGGAGCAAAACATTTAATCGAAAAACATAATAGTCCTCTAACGAGGCCCATCAAGGAAACAACAAACAGCGGAAAAGTGGAAACTCCACTGCCTCTCCGGCCCTCCGAAAAAATCAACACATAACGCAAGCGAAAAGCTTTTTTTATCGTTTACTCGCATCAGCGCAACATCAGCTCTTGTGACAAATAAAATTATGTTTGCACAATAAACATCGAGACTCATACGCACGAAAGAAGTTAAAATAAACATGAAATCAGGAAGAAAATTAATAACCCGTTAATAAATAATATTTATTTATTAAAGCTATTAATTACACAGGGAATTTGATAATTTTAAATTTAAATTATTACCTTTAATTAACATTTATCATGTGTGGAAGTGTTCTACAGGTAGAAATGTTTCACACCACTGTTTTTTATCGTCCTGATAATTTTAATTACAATACACAGTTCATATTCACAGTTTATATTTTAAGTCAAAAATTAATAGTAGTGTATTTTGTTGAATTAATGGCTATGAAATCCTTTTGAATGAAATACTTTTCTTTCACGTGAATTTAAAACTGATGAGTTTTGCAATTCTCGCGTGCGCGTTGTAGATTCGCGACTACCGACGCGACGCACCGTCGTGGAAAAACTGAAAGCTTCAAGTCTTCGGCGGCGGCGGTGGCGCGTTGGGAGAGTCGGCAGGCGCGACCGCGCACGTTCCAGCCGCCTACAGGACTATCCCCAGGACTAGCGGGCGGGATGCACACGCAGTGAGCGGGCGAAGCGTGACTCGGGACGTCGTCGCGTTCCGCGTGCGCACATACTATTGCCGCCGCCGCCGCCGCACGCTTGTTTGTGTGTGTGTGTGTATGTCGGAGGCAGCCGCCGACGTCGTCGAGTCGCGCTCGTCGCCACCCCCCGGCGATGTCATCTATCAACTGGCGCAGCAACTTGCGCTTTTTGCCTTCTTCGCAGTCAACATTTTTGATTGCTAATCTTGAACGTTGAACGTGTTACGCACACGCACTCATCCTCAACCCAATCATTAGATTTATTTATAATTTTGAGAAGATATTTATTATTTACATTTTACACATCTTTAGACAAGGAAATATTTTTTTTGTTTTTGGATTTTTTGAGATAAAGGACGGTGCAAACGCACGCAAAACTTTTTTCATACATCGGAGTACTATTACTCCTTTGGGGATGGTAGCCAAGTTTATTTTTGCTTCGTCGTCGCATTTCTTCTTCCTTTTTTACACATACGTAATGTTATAACATTTGGGCGTATAAATAATCGATTTTTTTATTTGATGATAAATTTTTTTTCGCAGAAATGTTAAAATTGTCTGCATGATTTAATTTTTGATTGAAATGCCGAATGATTTCCTTTTTTCTTCATAAAATTCTCGTTATCCTCTGATTGTAGACTTCTTAAATTTCGGCAGATTTCGTCGGGAGCGCTTGAGAATCTACTGATGTCTTAAATTTGATTTCAGATCGGATCAAATTCGATTTTTATTAAGCTGAATTCCCATTCACAATAACTTGGCTTGGGCTTCTATCATCTATCTTTTCATTTAAAAATTGAAATTGATTTATTTGCAATTGAATCATAATAAAGAGAAAAAAAGGAAAAGGAATTACATAAAGGTTGAACATATTTATTTAGCGAATTTTATATGTTCGGTAATTTTTTAGGTTTTTATTTTGCATTTTGAAAAAAATCTCTTGTTTGTACAGACTGGAAGTTCGTAATCCCGCTAATACCTTTCACGTGAATTTCAAAAATGTACTCACGCTTTGTTTAATTTTTTTGAATTTTTGAATTTTCTCTGTTTTCTTTAAAACAGCGAAAATTTTTATTGAAAAAAATCAAACACAACGGTGTTGAAGAATTAAATATTTTACTATAGACATGAGCGAATTATTTTACCTGTATTTTTATTTCGGTAAATATTTTGTTTGATTTTAATTTATTTTGCGCGCATAAACCGTACTTCCATCAAAACACACTTTTGTTTTAATCCTTTCAAACTTTCATTTATTTACTCGCTCGGTACGCACAGCTCAAAGCTTGAACTTTATCGCGCTAAGCTCGAATTGATAGATACCAAAGTTCCAACAAAGGCAAAATGAAAAAAAAACGCGGCAATTTTCAGCTGAGAATTTTAAAATCGAAATTCCGCGCCGAGAGCAGTAAAAGTGGCGCAATGCAAAAAAAAACTTTACCGATGCGCCAATATAACGGCCATAGTAATATAACAATGAAGAGGAAAATTCTTGCTGGCTTCCCTGATTGCGTTCATTTTCGAAGCCGGGATGAGAGCACTTTGTGCGCTCGCATGCATTAAATAACGATCTCGTGGAAACAATAAAAGCGATACCGATGCAGCCGGGACGTGTGCGCCCAAATCGGCGACCCTCTCGGCTCTATTATAAATCGCTATAAATTCCTTGGCGTTTTGCGGCAAGGGGACGGCAAGGGGCTTGCGGTCATCTTGTCGACGCACCATTGCGGTATTTCGGCTCGGATGCTTCCCACTTGTAAACGCTATCTTTTATCGACGTCCTAGGTACTTACTTATACGTTATTCATGATCGTGGGATACAAAAATGTTTCCAGCAATTTAAGGCTCGGGAGATATTTAGTCGTTAGGATGGGATCTTATTATCATATGATATTAAAATATACCGCCTTAAATTTAAACATTTTAAGCATTTATTTTTTTTGTGTCTGCATAAAATGCATAATAAATATTTTATTACTCTTTTGTTATAATTAATTCAAAGTGTAAGAAAGTGTATTTTATTTTATTTTGTTTTATTTTACATGTAAAATTTAGTGTGCATTTTTGTGCACAAAACTAAGAAAGAATTTCGTGTGTTCGACACCTCGCGGAGATAAGGATTGGCGTAAACAAGTTTTTATCGCGATTGGCGATAAGAATGAAGCGCGCAAGAATGTGTGAACGCGATGCATCTTGTTTTGATCAGTTGAAATCGTCTGTTTGATCTGTGCACACGTACTTTTCTTGTTTCTCAATTATTTTTAATTGTTTGTCGCGGTTTTAATTGATTTTTAAAGTGAATTATATATTTCTCTAATTGTGTCTGTGTATTGTGTGTTGCCAGTTCTTGATTGCCAAGAATCGCAATTGGAAGTAAGTTTATCAATAACACAATAGGCGCAGATAATTTATAAAAACGTGCTTATACTAAACATGACTGTATCATTATTTTATGTAAAGAAACCTTCTAAATATAATTTTTCCTCTGTTGCAGGACTGGTCGTTGAGTTGCTGCATGCGATCCCAAGGTATGTTTACAATATTTCTTTTTATTTGACGCATTAAATTTCATTTGTTTAATTTGATATAAAATTTTGATCACATTCGGTAGTTTCGTTTGATTTCTAAAGGAGTATTTGATATAACATATATTGTTTCTTTGAATTTAATTTAAAACTTTTAATATCACCCTAATTTTTCATATCTTGTAAGATACCCGCGATAATACCCAACACATTTAATAACTTTCTTGTTAGTTATTAATAACGCTTAATAAAAGTTTACGCAAACAAAACAAAAACACCTTTAGGATTAAACGAACAGTTTTTAATCACTGAATATTTACTGAAATTTATTCTCGACGCAATAATGCGCGCGGCGTTCAAGACTTCTAAATATTTAAAATATTAGCGCTATTAGCACTGCAAGTAGCGACGCCGGCGAGCGCATTAATCAATCATGAAAATTTATGAATTTACGCTCGCCCTCTTCACGTGGGTCCGCTGCGTTTACTCGACTAATTTTAATTACAAATGTCCGTCCATCTCACCAATGCCCTGCGCTTGTATATGATAATTCGCGGTCGGTTCTTCAGGTGGCAAACAAATAAACTTGAGTTGTGGTATTTTCATCCCTACCTACCAACGCATGTAACAAAGTCTATTATTTTACATGCATTAAATAATCTAGTAAAATATTCAAATATTGCATTTTTGCATTTATAAATTAGTACGTAGTAAAAAGTGGACGTCATGAAATAAATTTGAAGAAATATAGTTCATTATTCCGGATGAATCCGAGGCGATACGTAGAGTTAAACATCGCAATAGTTTTTCGAGTGGATTAATAAAAATTGACCATAAAGGCCTCGACGTCGTAATTCGGCGCCGCCCGATTCGGTGCGGTCCGGTTTGGAATGCGATAAAAACGGGCGCCGACGGCGGAGGTGAGCGTGACGATGCGCCCCGGGTCGGCCGTTTGGTTTTAGCGGCGGCAATATTGGCGGTATATTGACGCGCGCCGCACCGCTGCTCGTACGTATCTATCACACTATCCACCGTCTGCCGCCGCCACTACCACACTACCACTATCAACCTCATCGCCGCCAACGTCGAGTCAGATATTCAAAAGCATTCGTTGGCTATTTACAGCTCGGCCATCATGCGCATATTCAATCCATAAAATTTATAATAGGCGGTCGTAAATAATTTGTCGTGGTCTCAAAATCGTAAACGTGTCCAAACCGAAATGTACTTACTAGTGGATTTTGCGGATAATTTATTATAAATTATTTAGTTAATACTAGTGCGTAAAAAAATTTATAAACATTTTTTACACTATGCTTGACATGTGACGGTTAAAAAACATTCAAAAACACCATTTCATCCCTCATATCTCTCAATTTTCTCGACACGCTGGAATTCGAGGAAAAGCGAAATATAGCACATCCATATCGGATTACGACAGCAAACGTGCAGCGCGTACCAACAACAACGGACGTGCAATATGTGTGTCCATTGTTCGACTCGCTCTCGATGAAAATAAAACATTTCTTCTAAAACATCGAGGGTGCAATGCGCATTAGCGACGACGGACGCGCGCGTAAAAAGAATGGGAAATATCAATTTGCGAGATGAGAATGTGCGCAACGTCACAAATGCTGTATGCATCCAGCTAACTACGGATGCGCGTTCGTGAAACAAAAGCGGCAGAGATCACGAATATGTTGTGCATTATGGTGTCGTGTATAAACTTCGACTTGGTGCAATAAGCTCTCGCGTTGAGAGCGATGAACGCATCCACAATACCAGTTGTTTGTCATTATGCTCTTCGACGCTGATGCGAACAACAACTCGGAAATGCAAAACTCGACTGCGACTTGATTGACGCAAAAAATCGCGCACGCTAGTTGAGCGAGTGACAACTAAATGCTACTTAAGCTTTTAACATTTGCACTATTTCATTTTCTATTGTGAGCTCGTGGGGTTCTCGCAAACTATTAATCCGTATTGTGATTGAATGTTTCGTATGTTTATATGTGGCAACAAAAAGTTGCAAATCCCATCGACGACGAATGAGGACGACGAGATGCGTTTCGAGTCGTAGTTGCTTTCTGCGCCAACTGGTTTCATCTAATATTGTAATCCGTGCGGAGCGATGGCAATTTGCCATGAATCCGGACGCGTAACGAGCGCTGGAAACCTGATTACTGTAAATTTGATTAATGCCAACATGCATGCGCCAGTAACACATCCGGAACATGCCGAAATGCAATCAAAAATTATTTCCGCATCGGTTGTACATATTTCGGGGCGCATTTGTTAGCACAGCGCTAATCTCTTCAAGAACTCACTATAAATTCAAGATGACGTATAATCACCCAACATTTATCTCATCACACATTTGAAAATACAGTTTTCCGTTGACTAGTGTTGAAAATAACGTTTTCAACTCTAGAAATATAAAAATCATTTATTAAAATATCTATTAGCATAGTATTTATTATGTTATTATTTAAAAACAACGTTTTAAACAACTTTTTACTGTTTTCTCCACATCGGTATGCGGAAAACACTTTATACAAAATCATTGTTTTCCTCTCATGGAACATAAAAAACAGTTTTTTTTTCTTATTTATTAAATAAAAACAGCAAAAAATGAAGTCATTACAAAACACACACACAAGCATCACAGGACGCAGTCATTCGCCTCGCCGCCTCTTTCGCCTAAGTCGCTATGATGAGAAAGCTTCCCGTCTGCGAAGAATAAGCGTATAGATAACACGATTATTAAATCACATACGCGAACATAATTTCGAGTAGCTTTTGCGTTTGACAGAGATAAATTTACTTTGCCGTTCACTTTATTCGACGGCGGGCGGGCGGAAGCGGCAAACGTGCGTAAGCGTCTTCGCGCGGGCACCTCTGGCGGCGAGATGATTCGGGACGCAGCGCGAGTGTGTCGCGTAATCCCCGCGGGATGGGCGACAATGATATGCCTGCGACTTTACAAGACAAGAAAATTGGGTATTATTTGTCTTTAGTGTCGTACTGTCGGCGCGCCGACTGCGTCATCAACCCTTGTGAACGCGCTCGAGAAGGATATCAAGGGTGTGCGTTGCCAGTGATGTGTTTTTGATTTATTACCGTGATGTATCGGCCGTTGTTTAATCAATAATGCAAAAGAACGTAGAAAGAAGTCAAAATTACGTGGATTATTACCGCGTGGATAAAGTTTAGTATTTTCTAAAACAATTATTAGACATTTTTCTACATTGTGCGCTTTGGCTTACATTCTAGAGTGGATTTATTACATTAATATTACCTTTAACGGGCGACAGAAGGTAATTCATATCGTATTAAAGTTTAGTACGTTTTTTTTTTTTTTTGTTGTAAGCGCTACATGAGGCAGACGCGAGATAAGTGGACTAGCTATTAGTTTATATCGGACGGCTGCTTAGCGCTCGAATGCGTGGAAAACAAGCCTGGCGGGGGCGGTTGGCTTGGGAATAGTAATATGAAAAGAATTGCAGCGAGCAAATTGAATTTAGCACACGCTGGCGTCGACACCGAGCCGCCGAAGCCGACAAAAGGCGAGAAAAACTCATTATGTCGCAATTAAAAATTAATTCCATTAAATTACAATTCATTATGACCCTCACTCACGTTTAGACTGCCGTTTAAACAAAACAAAACTAGAAAAAAACATTTATTTATTAATTTAAAACTTTTCTAATAATTTTCAAACTTTTATTGTTATAGCTTTATTATTGTTTGTTTATTTTGAGATAAAGAGATAAAGTCCACATGAAGGATGCAGTCGTAAACGTCCGCTAACTTAATTTTAATTTTCGCACGCAGAAAGACACAAAACATTCGCGCTTTGTAAAACACTTTGTGCAAGTTTACGCGTACTTGGAAGAAAAGCACAAACACTCGGCCGACCTTCCCGAGCAATTACAATACGAGCTGCACATTAACAAACATTAACAATAACTCATGTGTAATGGCCACCAGCACCCGAAATGTGCGCATCTTTTATCTAAACATGGAGCATGAGATAAACCGCAAATTAGAGTTTAAAAGAAGTGAAATTTAATAAATTTTCCAGACGTCCGAATTATTTAAATCATATAATGACCAAAGTTATATATTTTGCAATAACTCGGCGAAATTTTGATATTTTGGCGGTTCGGAAACTTTACACTTTACGCAACTTGCTCTTGCCAGGTATATTAATGCAGTTCTAGTTACTTTAGCAACTCATTATGACCCAAACCCGAAAGTCTCCTCTCTTGGCGAATTAACATCGAAGTTATCAAAACAGAAATTTAGTTTACGTTGCAATCAATGCAAATAAACACAAACAAAGTGTAAATCTTTGAATGTCAACTAATCATTTATCAAACAATTTACACTTATGCCTGAATGATTTTTCTATCGCATGTTGGCGATACAAGTCGTAAAATATTGCGTTTTAAATCGCCTCCTCGTTCGACAAAGCTCAGCGGCGCCAGTTATGCGCCTCGTTGCACATTGTTATGCGCGCAATTTTTGCTCGATTTGTAAGACACGACATATGCGTGCACCCCCAGCACAATCTCCTCTTGCATCGTATTTTATTCGAAGACAGCGCGCGCTGGAAAAAAAGTTACCAGAGTGCATCTCCTCGAAGCGTTCCAACCACAACCATAGTTGTGCGTTGTGCTCAATATTCAAAAACACACACACTCACATACGCAAGTATTATATGCGTATGTGTGTGAGGAAAATATACTCGCTAGCTTAGCCCGTGGGGTTGTAACCGTAACGGATATAAGCGTCGAGCTTCTGCATAAATATAACTTATCTCCATCTCGGGGAATGCGCGCCGAGGAGCACGCGAAGTCACCGCAAACTCGCGCGGAATAAGGGATAACGCTTACGGGCGACGCGTTTTGCACCACCACCCCCGCGCCGTCCTCTCGGCCACAGACTCCGCAACATAGTGCCTTATGTCTCTCCGGTTAGTTATAAACATAATCGTTCGT